AAATAGAAAACAATTACATTCCTGAAGGTTCTCCTTATAGATGTTAGTTTTTTCTCTTTGGCCAGAACTGGTTCACATGATTATCTTGGCTATAAGGAAGGCTGAATAATTGTTTTTTAGCTGGACACATGCCACACTGAAAAGAATTGAAAGTTGGTTAACATGAGAAAAAAAGAGAGTAGATGTCAAGCAGTATTGGGCATTTTCTGCTAAATAATCGATTTTAGGAAACAGATAAACAGGTAAACAGATAAGAAAATTCACTGGGTGTGAAGTGCAGTAGCATTATTTAGGAGACTGCCTGGAATCTCTGAAAGATTCTTAGAGTTGCTATCTGTTGAAATATTGAATAAATTGGTAAGGGGTAACATTTCAGGACAAAAGAATGACCTATGCATAAAGGTATTAAAAATAATTTAGCACTTAAAAAACTGATTTAATATGGTCTACAATATATACATATGCAAATGGCAGAAAAAACTAGAGAAATTCAAATTGTGAATGCCCTTAGATATCATGCCTGGGAATTTGGTCTTTGATCCATGGGGGTGTGATTAGTTTGTATTCTAAGTGTAATGGAAAGAACTAAGCTGGGAGTTGACTTCCAGAAACAGTTCTGTCACTATGTGTATTGGCAAAGAGTTGGGATTTTGGGGGATGTGGGAGAGTGGGAATGTTATTACATTTTAAAGTAAGTTATTATGTTTATTTTTAAAATATGTAATATTAAGTTATAGAGCAGAATGATATAATGAACAGTGAAGAGCCCCAGCACCAGAATAATATCAATAATTTCTATTGGTTTTTCTATTCCATATCATTCCCCTTTCCCTCTGACAGTAAATTATTTTCCTGAATTCTGTGTTTTTCATTCTTTTGGGGTTTTTTTTGATTGTAATATTATATGCATGTGTTTTCATAAGTTATGTGTTGTCTTATTTGATGTCTGACTACATAAATATACTCATATAGTCTCATCTCCTATTGATGAAGCACTTGGGTTATTTCTAGGTTTTTGCTATTATAAATAGTGCTTCTATAAACATTATTGTACATATGCAAACTCCTCTAGGAAACATACCTAGCAGTTGAATTGTTTGGTTGGTTGTTGAATATGAAAATGTTCAGCTTTGTACGACAATGCCAGATTATTTTCAAAGTGGGTTTATAAATTCATAATCAAATCATTAATATATAAAAGTTTCCATTGATTCATAATCCCTCCTATGTTGATATGTCATGTGTCTGCTTTTTCCAAGTCTGTTGTGTATAAATGCTGTCTTGTTATGGTATAATTTGCATTTATCTAGTTACTAATTGTATTGAGCAGCATTTTGTTTATTTTGCCTTATACACATGCTATTCTGTGAAATTTCTAGTGTTTTATTTATCCTCTATTGTTTTGAAATATCTTTGCAGTCTGGTTCATCTTTGTAATTTCTTTTTGGTAGATTTTGAGGAAAATTAACTTAAGTTAGTATATTTTAAATTTTTATAGATTTTTGCATTTTCTGTGCAAATAATATCACTTGTATTCCTTCCAGTTCTCATGTGATCAATTCATTAACTAATTTTATTTTTCTTTTTGCTATGTTAACTAAGACCTCATGCAATATTGAATGAAAACTCTGTAGAGGTTATATTTCTCATGTTTCAGGCTGATAATCTATCTTTTAAGTAGCAGATTTATAATTGCTGTGAATATTGATATATTTGGATCTGTTTTTACTGTCTTAATTTTTATTTCTATTTGAATATTTTAAAATATGTTTTCCTGGCTTTTCTTTGATTGAATGACATTTTTTTAAAATTCCTTTCTGAATTCTTTCAGAGGATTGTGGATATGTCACTTTAAAATGTTCAAAAACAAACAATATTTTAACCTGTCCTTTTAGACAATGTAAGGACTTGGTACACTTATGCTTCATTCAGCCTTCTCCTGGTTCACAGTCTTATTATTACTATTCATTATTTTTGTTCTGTCCTTTATTTTGAGCCCACAAATTAGATATTATCATTTTTGTTTTATACATGCAACCTTTATTTGGATTTGCATAGATGTTTACCATTTTATTTGCTCAGCATTCTTATAATATAATACTTTGCTGAAATATATTCTTTAGGAACTCTTTTAAATAGGTTTCTTGTTGGCATGGTTCAGTTTTTGTTTATTAATGTTTTTAATGTTTTCATGCTTTTCCTTGATGCATTATTCTGCTGCGTATGCAATTTGTTGCCAGGTTTTTTTTTCTTTTCTTTTTTGACATATTGACAATATTATTTCAATGTCTTCAACATTCTTTTGTTGTGAATAAAGTTTCTTGTCACTTATCATTCCTTTGCATGTGATATGTCCCTTTTAAATAACTTCTTTTAAAATCTTCTCCTTGATGTTTCACAGTTACATTACTATGTATTGGTCCTAGACAGATTGAATTTATTCTGCTTCAGATACATTATGGTTCATGTATATGTAGCTTAGAATTTTTAAAAATAATTCCTGAAAAAGTCATAGGCATCATCTCTTTAAATGCTATCTCTATTTGTTTTTTCCTTCTTGAACTCCTATTAAACATTTGATCCTCCATATCTCTTAATACCTTAAAATTTCTTATTTATTTCTTGTTCATTTTGTATATTTCTTTTTTTTCTTTTAACTTTTTCTTTTTTTTCATTTTTTTATTGATTGTTCAAAACATTACAGAGCTCATGATATATCATCTTTCATACATTTGACTCAATTGGGTTTTGAACTCTCCAAATACATATTGCAGACTCACTTCTGTTACATACTCACATTTTCACATAATGGCATATTAGTGACTGTTGTATTCTGCTACCTTTCCTATCCCCTACTATCCCCCCTCCCCTCCCCTCCCCTCCCATCTTCCCTCTCTACCTCCTCTGCTGTTGTTCAATTCTCTCCCTTTTTTTCCCCCTCCCCCTTGCCCCTCATAACCTCTTATAATTTTGTGTATCACTGAAGGTCTCCTACCATTTCCATATGCTTTCTCTTCTCTCTCCCTTTCTCTCCCCCCATTCGTCTTAGTTTACTGTTAGTCTTTTCCTCATGCTCTTCCTTCCTGTTCTATTCTTAGTGGCTCTCTTTATATCAAAGAAGACATTTGACATTTGTTTTTTAGGGCTTGGCTAGCTTCACTTAGCATAATCTGCTCTAATGCCATCTATTTCCCTGCAAATTCTATGATTTTGTCATTTCTTAGTGCTGCATAATACTCCATTGTGTATAGCTGCCACAATTTTTTTATCCACTCATCTATTGAAGGGTCGGGCTCCAAATTCCTTAATAGAACGCCCATAGCCCAAGAGTTAATAACAAGAATAAACAAATGGGACCTACTTAAACTAAAAAGTTTTTTTCTCAGCAAGAGAAACAGTAAAAGAGGTAAATAGAGAGCCTACATCCTGGGAACAAATTTTTACCCCTCACACCTCAGATAGAGCCCTAATATCAAGAATGTACAAAGAACTCAAAAAAATTAAACAATAAGATAACAAATAATCCAATCAACAAATGGGCCAAGGACCTGAACAGACACTTCTCAGAGGAGGACATACAATCAATCCACAAGCACATGAGAAAATGCTCACCATCTCTAGCAATCAGAGAAATGCAAATCAAAACCACCCTAAGATACCATTTCACTCCAGTAAGATTGGCAGCCATTATGAAGTCAAACAACAATAAGTGTTGGCGAGGATGTGGGGAAAAGGGCACACTTGTACACTGCTGGTGGGACTGCAAAATGGTGAGGCCAATTTGGAAAGCAGTATGGAGATTCCTGGGAAAGCTGGGAATGGATCCACCATTTGACCCAGCTATTGCCCTTCTCGGACTATTCCCTGAGGACCTTAAAAGAGCGCACTATAGGGATACGGCCACATCAATGATTATAGCGGCACAATTCACAATAGCTAGACTGTGGAACCAATATTTTTTATATTTCTGAGGTAGCTTTGTTGTAAAAGTGAAATCTGACAGTAGAAAATCATTTATGACTCAGAGGTTCCTAATTGGTTAGTGGACTAACTGATTTTGATGCTACCTTCTCCCTTTTATTTTTCCCTTTGAAATACAATATGCTAAAAATATGGCTAATGAATATAACACAAACCTAAGTACTGAACTGATGAGCTGAAAGCTTTTTGGGTTTGCATGCTGACATCTGAGTTGTAAAAGATAAAGAGTTCTGCATCATTAATCATTTCCTCTTTATATGTATAAGACCAAGTCATTCTAGCTGACTGTAATTGAGGCTAAGCAGCATGGATGTGATGGAGCTAAAGAAATAGCTCTATGTAGTCTGATCATGAAGATGTAGCCTAAAAGTGACAATCTAAAAGTAAACTTTTATCAGTATTAAGAACCATTAAGTTTCAAGAATGACATTTTAAATTCAGTTTTTCAGAGAAATGAAATCCTTTTGAACACTGGTAAATTTAGTCTTGTCGTGGGTTGAAGTTTTAAAAGACTAGTACTTGTATATTAAAAGTTACCTACTTTTCCTCCATTGCTACAAGGTGGATGACTCATGGTTAAGATTTTATTCTGTGTCTTATATTGCTTCTATATATACCTCAGTACATTTAAAATCATAATCTTACTTGGATTGAAGCAACTTACCTATGTATTTCTTTAAAGTCCTTAAAATAATTAAAGAATTCATTATTATTGTATCACACCCTTGGTTTAAAAGTATTTATATTTTTTCTTTTTTTTTTCTTCTTCTTTTTTTCTTTTTTTATGGCAGGGTTGTTACAAGTTGAATTGAAAACAAGAAAAACTTGCTTTTGGCGCCATCAAAAAGGAAAGCCAGATACTTTCCTTTCCACAATTGAAGCCATTTACTACTTTCTAGTAGACTACCATACTGATGTATTAAAAGAAAAATACAAAGGACAATATGACAATCTTTTATTTTTCTACTCTTTTATGTACCACTTGATAAAGAATGCCAAGTGCTCTGGAGATAAGGAAACAGCAAAACATACCTAGTAGTTGATAACAAGCCACCTATCATTTTATTTTGCTAAAATTAATAAACTTATAGTTGTGCTTTGTTTATTCTTGGGAAATAATTGTGTATAATAGCTGCAATACCACTTGAAAAAATTCCATTTTCACCCATATTTTTTAAAACAAAATTGTATCTGAAGCAATTTTTCAGAGATAAAGTTGATTTAAAAACCTTATTTTGCAACCAACAATAAAAAAAATTTAAAAAAAATAAAAAAAACCTTATTTTGAAAGTTATTTGCTCAATTTTGGCATATCAGTTTTATTGCTATATTTTAATAAAATATTTTATCTATGTAATTATAATTAAATATTTGATTAGAGGTCTTTGTTTCTTTTTCACCTATACATTTTTGCCTTTGGATTTAGATGAGGTCAGAATGTTTATGCTGAAAAAAAAATTGATACTGATTTGTTTGAGGTTAGTGACAAATGTAGGCACACCTAGAATTAGAGCTCTAGTTTGTTTCTAGTGCTATTTCTCTAAGTCTTCACTGTCTGTGATGAACATTTACTGCCTATTGCATCTGCCTGTTATCTCTTTGAAGGGAAGATTGTTAATAATCATATGGTCCTCCATTGAAATGGGATATGTGACCTAGGAAGATGAGTGTTATAGCACATCCAAAATGCAGTGATTGATCCAGGGCTGAGCACGTGACCCAGTAGTAAAAGAGTCCTTTTTGATGAGTCCTGTGGATGCTGTAGAAGATGGGGTTTAAACTGGGCACATTGGTGCAGGACTATCATCTCAGTTACTGTGGAGTCTGAGGCTTGATGATCCAGGTTTGAAGCCAGCCTGGGCCACTTAGTGAGTCACTGTCAAAACAGACAAACAAACAAAAAGGGTTGATTCAATCCTTAATAGTGAGATACTGAGAGATAGATAGATAGATAGATAGATAGATAGAGAGAGAGAGAGAGAGAGAGAGAGAGAGAGGATTTACATTTCAAAAGGCAATATTGTACAATGGCTAAATGCACATATTCTAGAACTAGACAACTGAATCTAAATTTCAACTTTGCTTTTTTATGTAACAGCCATATGCCAATTTTTTCATCTGTGGCAATCTTATAGAATTACTATGAGGATTAACTGAATGAATGTATATTAAGGGCTTTCAGCAGCACCTAGAATATTAAGTGCCATATTCCCAGCCCTTATTATTTATTTGGCATTATGAACTAAGAATAATTTAAAGCTAGGGCTGCTAGTGACTACTTATGCTACCAGGTGAAAAGATCCAGTGTTAGAATGAAGGCAGAAGAAGAAAACAGGGTAGAGAGATAAAGAGAGACTGAGTTTTGATGACTTAAGAACAGATGTAAGTGCTTTTGAATGGAACCCTACCATGCTCTATAGCTTTTGTTTGCCTCTCTATATCTACCCTTAACTCTTTTCAGTTCTGCTCCCTGCCTGTGAAATATGTTCCCTTGTTCTCTGACTTTTGGTTTGATTCAACAAATGAGATGCATCAGCAGGAAATTAGAGGTTGAAGGGAAAATCATTTATTTCCCTGCCCTTTTCTTGTCAGGTCCTCATGGGTCGATTGTGTCCTTTTACAGAATGCCATTTTATCAGGTATCCTTTCCCTTCCCAAGCAATTATCCCAGTTTTTTCTCTAAATTCAGATCCATGCTCCTTCCCTTTGCACATTTTCATTTAAAGGTAGTAACGGGTTCTACTTGTTGCTAAGTCTCAGGGTAGATCATTATCCTTTGTTATTTTCCCTTATCCCTACTCATACTTTTATAAATACTCATTTTATTATGCTCCAATAAAGTGACTTCATTTGAAGATGCTTTTGTTCACTTGAAGTTTCGGTTTCTTTCTGGGGCTCTGACTAATATGTATTAGACACTAGGAATAATAGTACATATCTCAAAGCTTATGCATTGGGACATATAATATGTTTTATAAAAAACAAAATTCATAAAAATAAAACAGTTCTTGGCAAAATTAGTTTGCTGCACATTATATTTCTTGAAAATTCAAAAGGCACAGCATATTAAAGATTCTGAAAAGTCCTGAAATAAGCGTTCTGTACTTTTACTTCATTTAATATATCTTAAGCTTTCTTGAATACATAATGCCTATTTAGCATCCATGGAAATATAATATTTAGGATATTGTGGTTTAGAGCAGCTCCTGAGCAACAGAGAACTAAAGAGATAAGGTAAATTATCAATAGGTCATACAGTTAGTGGCAAAACTTGGTCTAGATAGTCTGGGACTTCTGACTTGGTTTTGTTTAGTGAGATCACCATTATATTTTGCTATTCATAAAAAGGAATGTGGATGTTATAGTCAGCTTTTTCACTGCTGCGACTAAAAGACTGAACTAGAATAATTGTAAAGAAGGAAAAGTTTATTTGAGGACTCATGGTTTTAGAGGTCTTTGTCCGTAGAAGGCCAGCTCCATTCCTCAGGGCTCCAGTTAAGGTAGAATATCATGGTGGAAAAGTGTGGCAGAGGGACACATGTATGGCAGAGTGACATGACACACATGATGTTGAGGAAGTAGAGAGTCAGACTCTCCAGATACAATATATATATATATATCCCATATCCATGCACCCAGTGAACTACTTCCTTCAGCCATACTTCACTTGCCTCCAGTCACCACTCAGTTAATCCCATCATGGATTAATTCACTGATAAGGTTAAGGCTGTACCCCAATCATTTCTCCTCTGAATCTTGCTTTGTCTGACATCTAAACCATAACAGTGGATTATATGAGATTTGAACATTACTAGCTCCATAATCTTAGCAGGATAAACTAACTGGCTTACTTATTAGCAGTTATTTTACAAGAATGGAATTAAAAGAGATTTCTTCACATTTAAAACTTGGCCCTGGAAATAGAAGAATGTTTCAATTGATTTAAGCAGGGCCAAACTTGAATTTCTTTGAGCTATATTTGGACTTCCCTGAGCCAAAAATCTATTGCCATTTAAAAACCAACTAAACATAACACTTGAAAGGGAGAAGGAAAAGAATAGAGAGAATATTCCTATCATTTATTTGCCCCCATCTCACAGCTGGCATAAGAAAGATGACCCACAGACTTCAAAAGAGGCTAATTCACAACTAAAGCCAAATAAAATCTCAAGTTCTTTCCAAAAAAAGATGATAATACCTGTTAGAACAAAGAATTGACTGTACTTGTTTTGTTTTTTTCCTTGGTGTGATAGACAGCAAAAAATTGCTGTACTTCTTTGTTCTTTCCCATTCATGGTGCTTTTTCAGGTTCCTTTGAAGTACCCTTTGACTCTGAATCTGGGCCATATGTGTTTCCAAAAATTTATTGTATTTTTACTTACTCTTGTACTTCTGGTGTTGTCATATAAACATGCATGGCTTTTAGCCTACTGAAGGATAAGGTTCCCATAGAAGAGCCAGCTTGCCCCATCAACCTAGCTAAATCCTATTGAGATTGGCTGATTGCCAACCAACCCCCAGATATACGAATGATTCCCAGCCAAGATCAGCAGTGTCACCTAATTAACCCCTACCTGATTTTAGATATGTGAGCAAGTTATGCCTATTGTTATGCCACTGAGGTTTAGTTGTTGATTATACAGCATTATTGTAGATATATGTAAATATCTCATCATTGGATAGTATCAGTGGACATCTCAAGCACCTGAAAAGGTTTTCAGCCTCACTATATCTTGAGCCCTTGACCACTCATTTTGCCTTAGTTATAACCTTATGCAGTGACAGATTACCAGCAGGCTTATGTGATTGCTCTGCTTTAGGTCAATTAGCCATATGCCTAGAATCCTTGGCCCACTTCTGCACTCTGAAAAACAAAAGGCTTCCTCAGTGACTATTGAAAGGGCTAAGTGACAAACTGTTAGTGGATGCTGAAAAGACAGTATAGTAGGCACAATAATTACTACTTTCAAGTGTCCACATTCAAATCCCCAGAACCTTGAATATACTATTTTACATGGTAAAGGAACTTGTCGTTGATGTGATTTAGTTAAGAATTTTGAAATGGAAAGATTATCCTGGATTACTTATGCCTAATACACACACCAGAATCCTTAAAAGTAGAAGAAAGATAACACAAGAGGAAGTCAGAGTGATGAAAAAGGAGCTTTTAACACACCATTGCTGGCTTTGCAAATGGACAAAGAACCATAAGCCAAGGGATGCACGCAGTCTCTAAGAAGCTAGGTAAAGCAGGGAAACAGATTCTCCCTAGAGCCTCCAGAAAGGAATTAGTTTAGCCAACATTTTGATTTTAGTCCAGTGAGATCTGTGTTGGACTTCTAACCTACAGAACTATATAATAATAAATTGTGTTGCTTACACATATTAAATTTGTGGTAATTTGTTACAGAAGCAAGAGAAAAATAGTAATGAGCTATTAGCCAAGTTTTGAGGAATAATGAGCAAACACTAGGAGATGGAAAGCAGAGCAATTATTATATGTTGGAGTAATAATTTTTTCAGTGACAGGATACTTGTCTTAACATAAAATATAGAAAATAAACCTTATGAGCTTATAGATCTCCTCAGGAAATTTCCAAGTGAATATCACAGGTACCAATTAACTTATGGTGATGTATAGGAAGATACAAATGAACTGAAGAAGAAATTGTTCAATTTGAAAGCAGAATTTAGAGGAAATATTTCCAACCCATTAGTTGTGATTTTTTTTGGGGGGGGGGTGGAAAAATGATGACTGGGGGGTGTAGTCAAAATCCCAGAGGGAGGAGCCAAGAAGCAAGAAGAGCAATGTAAAGGAAACTATTCCCAGGATTGGCAGAATATCCCCTGACTTTAATGTAGAGGACACTGACAATAATTTTAGTTTTGTGCCTTCTGTTTCCTTGACCCCCTTTTCTGTTGTGTTCCTTTCCTAGAAAACTTTGGCTGAGAAAAGCCACTCCCAGCATCTGCACTTGAGGAACAATAATAGGGATTTTATTCATTTCTGGACCTGAGTTAGATAATAAGATACTGAACTTAAACTTATGCTGTAAGGGGGTAAGAATTTTAGGATACAGAATAAATATACTTTTGCATGTGAGTGGGCTGAGAACTATGGCCAGAAGGTGGACTTGTGATAGTCTTCAAATTTTATTCTCAAACACCCTCTGATACACATTCCTCTGATATACATACCCTCTATTCCGGGGGTGAAGTTCATTTCCTTTTCCCTTCAATCTGGCATGGCCTCCTAAGTTAATTGGCTAATATGATGAAAGTAAGTTTTGATAGTTTTAGTTTCACTCTCCAGAGTGACCATATTAAAATCCAAGTTATCCTGCTGGAAAGAAGGCCATGTGGAGAGTACAGAGACACCACATAGAAGGGAAAGCCACATAGGGAAGGACTGCGATACCTGGATATCAACACTCTTAGTCAGTTTGGCTTACTGTAACAAAAATATTAGATTGGGAGGCTTAAATAACAGAAGTTCATTTCTCACATTTCTGGAGCTGGGAGTCTGGAAGTCCTAGATTGGGTTTCCAGCACGTTTAGGGGGTTGGTAAGAGCTCTCTTCCTAGTTTGCAGACAGCCATCTTCTTACTATATCCTCACATGGTGGGCAGTGTTCTTTTTTAATCTCATTAAGGGCACCAGTCTCATCATGGCGTGCAATCATTATGACCTCTCAAAACCTGATTACTTTCCTAAAGTCTTACTTCCAAACACTGTAACAGTGAGCATTAGGATGTCAACATGTGAATTTGGGGAGGAAACAAATATTCAGTCTGTAGAAACCATCAGGTTACTAGGCAAAGTATGAGAGGTCTTGAACCCTCTAACTCAGCCAGCACCTGGATACAGCTCTATGGGGCACCTTAAGTGGCATCATTTAAAGCTAAAGAATCACTAGTTAAGTCACAGAACTATGAGAAATTTAAAAATCATTTGATAGGTTTTGGAGTGGTTCATCTCATAGAAGTTGATAACTTATATAGCAGTCTTTTTGTTTTGTAGAAGGTAGGTTAAGGGGGAGGGGACAAGACCTGTAGTAGGTGGGAGAGGAGGTAGATACCTATTTTTTAACTGTATGGTAGTGTCTTCATCGGTACCATTTTCTTAAACAGCTTTTGAGCTTTTGTATTAAATTAGTCCAGTCTATTGGACAAAAAGCTACTTCTGTAAATCTTGAAATAAGCCCCTTCGCTTGGGCTGAGAATCAGGTGCTGTAGAAAATGCCCATAGATTCTCTGTTCTACAGGGCCTAATGAAGCATTGCTTGAAATGATTGTAAAGTCTTTGCAAAGATTGTGCAGCCTTTGATTTATCTTAACTCTGGGACTGTTAGTTCCTTAAACTTTTATCTTTGCCCTGAGACCATTTATGATGAGTGGAATATTTTGCTGGCTGGTAAAGTTGGGAATAGAAAACAGTAGGGAATACTTCAAAGACTTCTCTAAATGTGCTAAAAGTTTATAGAAAGATATGATGTCTACCTATTTTACCTTTATATCTAAACCCATCATGAAAAGCTCTGGAAATTAATAAAACTAATAAAATAATATTAATTAAATTATTAACAAAATTAGAATAAAATCTAATATGAATGTAAGTTAGAGATAACTGATTTGTTATTAAATGTATGAGACATTTATTTAATCAAATATAGTATAATTATAGCATGAATATTTACCAAATAACTTAATTTTTGAAGCAGAAAGAAACATAAGTAGAAGTCTGACTACCTTTTAAAGTGAAGGTTAACTATTTATAAGTTCAAGAAATACTTCATGTTTGTGCTATATGAACATGTTGATTCCATCTGGTTCTCTGCTAAGAATTAAATAAAAATTCAT